ATCTTCCCTCCCTTTCATTACCCATCATTTCATCCATTTTTCTTTCCAGGATGAGGGCAGTGAGGCTGCAGATCTGACAGAGCGCTGCGAGCTGATCAGTGACAGACTAATGACCTTGGAAGATGAATTGCAGACGGCCATACTGAACCGGGATCAGGCCTTCACCCATATCCTTTCACTGCTCTCTAAGCATACATACATCATATAAACTGACTGTTTTCTATCTGTTCGTGTTTCTGTCTCTGTTCATCCATCTTCAGGACCTAGTTTCCTTGAGGCTTTCCAACTCTCAAAAGTACACACCCGAACTTCCTCTAGGCTCACTGTTGCTCTGGGAATATAGCTTTTGAGAAAAATGAACCCGTCTTATCTGACATTATGGGTCCATTCAGGAAGGGGAATTGAAGATAAACTTGGATCAGAGGATTTTCTTTGACAGGCTGGACGTGCCAACCGGAAAATGAAATGGTAAAACTCCGAGCAAGGTTATTAGAGAGTGCTTGATGCGGGCTGCCAGTCACCAAGGGCTGAGATTAAAGTCGGCCGGCAGGGGCAGCGCCAGGACAGATAGAGGAATGTCACTAATGACTCTGCCCTCGTCATATTGTAATGTCCATCCTTCTGCTGACCCCCCCTCTCTTTCCTCTCCTCTGCCTGCTCACTTCCACTTGCTGGATCTGGCTCGGAGGAAATTACAATATCCATGATAATGACTCAAATGAAACTGTTGAGGCTGATTACAGGTCACAATACATAATTTCCCGCGCTAATTAGAAAGATGATTGGAAATAGATTAGTGTGTTTTTCTCCCTCCGCGTTTCCCCTCTACACTGTGAGCTTATTAAGACGGATAGAAAAGGCAATATTTCAACACCAAGATGAAGATAATTTGCCATCTCACCGGTTTTTAATGTTCTGTCACGTCCTATTTCTCTCCTTTAATCACCGGCTGCCAGAAATACTTTCCTAATCTGATGATGTTTATTTCATTTTAGGATCTATAAAAGCTGTGCGTTATGCCGGGCTTACACCCTTCACTCTCTGTTGAAGTGTAGCCAGACTTTTTCACATCTGATTAGAGATTCCTGTCCCCTGCTGGGCTGTCAGGGGTCAGTACAGGCTCCTGCACTGTTTGCATGATATCAGTGCATCCTGGCAGAGGGTGATAGACAGATTGGCCCGCTCCTCCCCACCTCTCGGTTGCAGTGTCCTTACATGCCATTCATCCCGGTCTTTTGTAGTCAATGTAAAAGTGTCACGGACACTAGAGGACACTGAAGACACAGCACAATATTGATGTTGGATTGCAGAAACTGATCATACACTGAACTCAGGATTATATTACTGTTGCCATAGTGACAGGAAAATCAAACCTCCAGTCTCTAAGGGTCTTAATTGAGTCCCCTCTCTCAATACAAGGAGGTAGATTGAACAACCGCAGGGACTGGAATTGAAAAAAAATAATATAGTGTGGTTAGTTTAATGATGGGATAGGTAAGGTAGGCAATATTAGGTAATTCTGACTAAAAACTACACTGATGCATCTCCTCTTGGCTTTGTTTTCAGGCTTTACAAAATCTAGCCCATTAATTGGAGATTTGGACAATCACAGGCCATTTCAGGGAGAGCGTGTCGTTGGCGGCTACAAACTCAGATGAGTGTTAGCATCTCTTCGGTATAAGCCTGATAGTCTAAAAGTAGGTATTTCAGCATTTGCAACAACTGTATACACTGCAAAGAAACCTGGAAAAAAGATTAAAAACGTATCAAAATGAGAGGTTCAATATGTTGGAGAAGTGTTTCTGAGATTGAGAGCAACAATTTCTCTTAAAAGGAAAATAATTGTATAGAATTGTTATATAATGACATCAGGCTCACAATCATAAAGATGATGTTTGAATTAAATGGCTGCTCCAAAGCTTACTTTATGAACTTTATGAAAGCCAGTGATCGTCTGGTGGGATGGGCTTGAGACAGAGAAGTGAGAGGAAGAGAAATGTATTTCAAAAATACTGTTTTTTTTTTTTTCATTTCTGAAAACTGCCTAACGACCAGCGAAATGCTGATTACTATAGATTGTCTTGTCAAATTCAGCCAGAAAATGACTACACAATATTTAAAGATCTATCACATGATTTTGAACTTTTGTCCCATTTGGACCATGTTGCTTTAAACGTGATGCGAACCGTCTGCAGTATTTATGAAAAGCTTTTTTATGGTTGGTTAATTATGAATGAGGACAATCTGTGTCCATTCAGACAGTAAAATTAGCCATCAGGCCCCATCTGCCATCAAAGCCGTCCCTTTGATTTGCCACTTAAGATGGACACTCACACGATTAATCCGAGTTTCTAAGCAGGTTAAACAATCCCCTCAACTGATGACAGCCTCTATCCCGTTTCATCGATGGTTTATGAATAATTTAACTGGGCAGTCTGTTTGTTTGGTTCCCCACTCCGGCTCCCGGTTCCACAGACGAGATGAGCTCATGAATACTGAATTGGATGGGGTTAAATTGGCTATGACTTGATGATCTGTCCCAGTAATCCATTTGGTGGCCAAATTGGAGATTGATGACTTCATCCCGTTATGTCTGTCCTCTGGTGTTACCATTAACCATCCTGGGCCACAAGTGTCACATTTGCCCCGAGATTTTTCTGCTGGCATGTTTACTATTTACATATTTTTATGTGACTCTTAGTTTGTGTCTGTAGCATCAGATTCTTCCTTAACTCGTGCCGCACAGTCGTTGGAAAAGGAGGTTCAGGAAGTAAAAGCCACTTTACAAACCATGCTTGAACAGCTCCAAGAGGAAGAGGAGGAGGAAGGGAATGAGTTACAAGATGACGACCTCATGGAAAACGGGACAGAGGAAGAAGAAGAAGAAGTGGAAGAAGAAGAAGAGGAAGAAGAAGAGGACGAGGACCAATACTTCAGTGACAGCTGGGGCATATGAAATGAATGCTGTGTGTTTTAAGACCACTCACAGACAGACCGGCTCTCCGAGAGTCTGACCTCAGCTTTGCAGAAGGAGTGACCCCGCATCCATTTACTGCCGAGCCTCACTCAGCTTCACAACCAGCCTCTGGTACTGCTGAAAGTTCCAGAACAAAGCCTTCAAAAGTCTGTAGTCTTTTATACATGGAACAGGAAAAGCATGAAGGATTTTGATAAAAATGCAAAATATAAGACACTTTAATGCCATTTGTTGCCTCAAAGCCAGGTAAAGAGTGCCTTAAGCCACGTGGCGATTTATTTTAATTAAGATGTTTTGAAGACAGGATCATGTCTTGCAGAGCTATAATGTGTCATTTTGTATTTTCAATGTTTACTATAAAAGCATTTCCCATTTTAGGTGATCATTTTGATTATTAAGGGTTTTTCCTTAACAATCCAATTGAGTCTCAAAAGTTAGAAATGATTTGCCAGCTTTAAAGTGAGACTGTGTAACTTTTGATCATACAGAAAATGCTCAGTAATGTTAGTTACACAGCAAAAATTAAAATATAAGCCAAATAGGTTACACAGGTTTCGTTGATGCAACTTTTCCGTAACATATAGTGCATATGTTACGGAAAAGTTGCATCAACGAAACCTGTGTATTGATTTGAACAAGGCTGTGGTGCATTTCTCATGTTTTTTTTGTTGTCCAAGTATGAATTTGTTATTGCTTCTTTCAAAAATTACATAGTCTTGCTTTAAAATTGTATCAAAATTCGTTAAAAAAAACAGAAGATACAAATGTTTTAAAATAGCCAACTCAAGCTGAAAAATGAGCAATCAATCACCAAAACCACCTGTTTTCATTGGTTTAGGGTGGACAACCAAAACGTCTTTTACTGGTAACAGTCGTGCACATAAACTTAAATGTATGCTTATTTTTTAGGTCAGCTAGGCACTGTGTGTTTTCCGTACGATTGGACTTCAGTTAAATGTAATTTTGTCCATGAAATAACTCATTTGTGGTGCTACAGAATGTGAGCTAACTTGAACACTTTATTGTTTTCATCTTGTTGAAAATGCAATATTTAGATTTTTATTCCTGTCTTAAAGCACTGTATGCTTAAAAGGATGCTCTGTATTTCAAAATACATCAGTCACAATAGTGAAATTGTGGCATATGCATGAAGGAAGTATTGAAGGATAACATATCAGTGGAAGTGCTTGCAACTGCTGTTTCTTTTTCTTAAATAATAGTTTTTCTGCCACTGACAAGTGTTTTTATTTACTTTATGTCAGCTCAGAAAAGGGTTATTCATACCACTGGGTGTCAGTTTATTTTTGCAAGAAATTTTTTCGTAATTCCACCCATAATAATAGTTTTTTTTAATTTACTGTCCAGCTTGCTGTATCATATTTTATATTTATTCCTTACTGCATCTCACTAATTAAAGCATGTACCATTCCAGACTAATGCTGTGTCCTGCTGTTTTCTTCTTGTATTGAGTTACAGCCCCTCTGCTCATTTCCCCTCATATAAAATGTGCGGGCATGCTGCCAGGCAAGTGGGGGCAGCAGTGACATGTAGAAGATATCAATACGGTAATAAAGGTCCTCTAGTGAGGTCTTTAGGGGATACATGGGCTTCTATTGTTATCTCGCCTCAGCAGCGCTGGTGTGGCTAATTGGGAGGCAGCCTCACAGAGGACATGGGGGGAAATGGGTTTATGGTGCTTTGTCTCCATCTAATTCACCCTGTATTTTTGGAGCAGGGCGATGTTGGGGGATCCTCAGGGGCGTGTCTGCAGTCCTGTGCTCTGGGCTGTAAACACAGCTGAGTGTGCAGGGTTTTTCCAGCAGCACAATGGGAACTGACAGCCAGGTAGCAGTTGTCAGGCCAGAAGTCTCCACATCTATCAGTCTCAGGCTGTGTATAGACAGAGCCTGGCACACACAACTTCCTGTCTATCACCCCCACCTCATAATTGAATCTATGCTTGTGTCATGCGGTGCCCTGCATGGTCACTCTGCTCATAAAATGGCCACGGAGAAAAGCCTAGATGGTTTTCAGCAGGCAGATACACTTGGGTAAGATGTTTCCTGATGTAAAATAAAGCACCATGCAGTCTGAGGTCCTTTGTCTCTGCAAGGTGGTTGCTATGATATTGCGAGTGTACATTTATTTTTTTATATGGTATTATTATAATCTTTTCTCTTTCCATATATTCCAGCCCCCCACTTAATTCCTGTTGCTGATGTCAGTGGTAGATTTACGACTTGATATTCATGGTTTTCTTTAAAACAATGGGTCCTTTATTTCAGATAGAGGCGGAAAAAAGCAGGCTGTAATTACCACTGTCGTTAAATTACATTGTTGCAGATTTGTATCAGCTGTATATCTATTTAACCTAGTGTTATTTGATTCAAGAATAATGAAAAACTATTCATAGAGCTTGTGCACATACATTTTGCTATCTGGATTACCAACCCACACACACTATGAAATCAGTCATTTCTTGCTGGGTCCGAAACCATTGGAATCAACAAGCTATTCAGATGTGACTCTACTTCCTATGTCCCATGTAGGCTCAGTAAAATAAACCAACCCCAAAAATGAGTATATCCACCCAGGGCTTGAGAACTATCTGTACAAATGCTGCACCATATTTTCTCTAGTGAGCAATTCAGAGCGAATAAGGCTCTGTGAGGAGGGGTCTTAAAGAGACAGGTGCTTAAACCGAGCGTTACAGACAGAGTGTGAATACAGGTATATTCCTAAAGACACTATGAGGAAAATAATTTGTTTGAGAAATGAGCATGATATGTCATCTTTAAAAAATTGTCTCTAGCTAACTTTGATATGTTTCCAGACTTCAAAATGACAACACTCTAAAAAATCAGTTCTCACTATGCATTTGATTCCTAAAATATTAATTATTGTGCTCAGAATCTATAGCTAAAGCTACATTTCCAAGGCAAAAAAAAAGCTTCTCAGCAGCTTCATACAAACCACCTGACATGTGGACAAATCTAAAGCTTGACAGACCTGCCGTGCTTAGTTACGGTTGCTAAGCTTTGACAATTGATGTTCGGGGGAGCAGTTTGGCAAATGGTCAATTTGGATGGTCGCTTGGCAGTTTTGTTGTTAGTGCAGAAAATGACTTTTTACATTTAATAAATCATACAGTCCACATAATGACATTTTATACATTTTCCAGTGAGGTGATATATGTTTCCAGTACTAATCTATTATTTTAAATATGAAAAAGAAATCAACATCAGAAAATAACATGCAAGTGATGTTCCACTCCATATTCACAAAATTCTCTGGATTTATGAATAATATTTAATGACTGAATGAATGATTTTAGGAGTGTGTCTGTATCAGGGGATTTGGGTTTGAGATTTGGATTTGTTTATTTGATTCCCTGCTGAGTTGTTATGTTGTCTGACAGGTACAAGTACAAACTCTCTGAACCATAGGAGAATAATAGATCACGCCGCAGACTTTCCTCTCGCTAGCGACAGACACATCCAATGAATGCAAATTGAGCTCTTTTTTCTGTACTCATGCATTTGACTTTCTCAGGGATCCCTGTATGCTCCTCTGAAACTGACACCTTTGCTATGTGTGAGCGACTGCATGTCAGTTCTGGTCATTGAGTCAGTGAAGTTAAATCTCCTGAGAGGTGTTTTTGTACAGAGCAAAACTGGACACTGAACTCACCGTACCTTACTTTAGCGCTCATTTGAATTCACTTTGTATTTCACTTAACTGTTCAATAAATTCAATTTAGCAATTAAATAGAAAGGAAATTCCTGTGGAATTAATAAGCATTTTAATCATTTGATTGCAAGTCTTCCCAACTCAAAATCTGCATATTTATCTGTAAAGGAAGTATGGCACAAATGAAAAACAGCACACTGAGCAGAGACAACAGGAAATGGCCTGCGTTACTCTTTTTCCGGTGGGCTGATCTTGCCGTTGGAAATCACACTTAATTATAAACACTGTGCCGTTGGGAGCTGCAGTCTCTTCAGAAACAGACTATTTCCATCACTTAGGCTTTATGAGAAATCACAGGATTGGAGAAAAGGCACTCAGAGGCGTACGCACAGATGTACTTTCATCTGCGTTCTGATATGTCCAATTTACAGCGCTTGACCTTTCAGAAATTACACATGGAAGAACTGAGAGACATTTAGAAAAACCCAGGAGTTTGAAAGAACAAAGTGGAATAAAGTGTGCGTGCAGCATGTGCCTCGACATGTGCAGGGAGAGATACTGATTCTGCTGAAACCCAATCAGAAGTATTACTCATTAAACCTATTTAATCATTCAGACTGAACTTGGAATATTAGCCTGCATGCGATCTATCTGAACACGAAGACCCTGAGGAAAAAATAACAGAAAGCCAAATTAAAAGATATTTAAATCACTGATGATTCAAGCTTCTGATATTCCTTATTAATGAAAGGGTCTGAACGAACCACTGGAAACTGGCTGATGAATACACTTTGCTTAGTAGAAGGCCACTGAAGAACATTACTGTTTATTAGCACCATGGGGAAAATAAGCTCTTAAAACTCCTTTCCAGCTTTATTATTAGAACATACAGCACAACAGTGAGGCGACCAATTCATGTAACAAAGCACTTATATACTAATAAAGGACTGGCTTATCTAAAGCCAGTTGAGTAGCACTTGAAATGTTTTTGCTCTATGAAACCTGATGTACTTATATGATTCTGTTTTCTTCAAGTTTGTATCTTGTTGGTCGAACGCACTTATTGTAAGTCGCTTTGGATAAAAGCGTCAGCTAAATGCAATGTACTGTAATGTAAATGTTTTATCTCCCATTTTCTTGCTATAGCATTAAATAAGTGGTGTATTTTTCAGCTTTCATTTGTTTAGAATACATCAATTAAGAATTATTCGTTTTGAATGGACAAAAAAAGAACCTCAGGCAAACGTAATACTGCATAAGGAGCTTTATAGGTATGGCTATCTTTGCAGATTTGATGTATGGTTTAGCATCTGATGTCTTAGCACATGCTAATATCACCACGCCACATGACGCTTTGATAATATTTCCCACCCTAGTTCTATAATATTCTTCTATGTGAGGGACACTGCTACACATTAACTTATGTATCGTACTTTTTAGAACTGGTGCAATATTCAGGTTATTTTTGCATTGTCCCAATAACCAGTCTTCTCTCCATAAACATACTTTCATGCACACTTCCTGAACTGCACAAAATACATTTCGAACTCACTTGAGGTGGTGTTTGTAGTGCTAAATTCATCGGCAAGGCTACTACAATCTTTATTTTTTTTGCTTTGTCTCTACGACATTAAGAAAGTTCACTCAAAACTTAAATGGAAGAATTACTATTGTGAGTGCAAATTGCTTTCATTAGAGGTCATATTGCTCAGGTGGCTTTGCTAAATATTGCGATACTAAAAGGAGAGTATTACAACAATTACTTGAATTCCTTAATGTTGTCTTCAATACATAAATCTCTACAGTACCTGCATCTGTCTGTAGCCTCTTCATCTAGTTACACTTTTGAGAAGGCATACATCATAATGTAACCTCATAACCGGAGCAATACAAATCTAGCTGAAATGTAGATTATAAATGTAGTGGGAATATATAGGATGGATGTTGTTCCTGAAACCACAGTGAAATCTAGAACAAATAATCCACTGTTGTGATGTAAATATAGCTAAAATGTAATAGAAAAATTAATCACATGTAATTTTTATAGTGTAAACATGAAATATTACAAATAAAAATGTTTGCAAATGCATTCTAGAGATGCCATTATTATAGGAGTGGGGTATGAGGGAATGTGGTGGGGGGAATTAAACCAATGACTTAAGAAGGCTAGCTCCAGCATTCATCCTGGGATCAGCTCGTTCTGTTTACAAGTCTTTTTTTTACATAAAGCGTGCTAAATTGTCTGTATTTTGTAAAGATAGCAGACTTGAAATTAGTAAATGTGTTGCAATTCAATTCTGAGTAAAGCTGAAGGAATATCCTGAATACATGTTGAATAAGAAATCAATATTTCTGAATAGTGTTGCACTCTGTGTATTTAATCCATGTTTGAAGTCTAACAAGTGCTCATGTCAAACTGTTCCAAAATGGGTTTTCTCAAAGCAATCGCTTTAAAAGCTTAATCTTGCTTCTCTGCCAAAAAGCATCAGAGATATTGAGATCCAATTCAAGAGGAACTTTGTGTGACACGCAAATCTCTTTCGAAGGATTTACAGTTTCCCCGTTCCTTTGTGGGACATCACTGTCAAACATTAAAAAACTGTTCTGACTGTTTTTGAAATTAAAAACATTGTTTGGTTTGGGCCAAGAGAAGTTTGTGCTTCCATGTTTAATATCTAAAGAAATGGGATACCCTTTTCTTTTTTGCAGCGGAACCAGCAGCAGAAGCAGCAGAGAATTGATTTTTACTCCCATGTCCAAGGAGGAAAAACATATTGTTGGTAAGTCCTCGGGGGAGCGCTCCTTTATTTAGGTCTACGGTGGGGCACTTCCTAGATGCCCAGACAGCAGTTCACCTTGTAACATCTCTAGGGGACATGGCTGTCACTGGAAAGCTGAAATATCATGCCAGCCCTGCCATCCTTCCCACTTAGTCTCAAAAACAGGCAGGTACCACACCATGGGGAAACAGGATCGATAGATGTGATGGATGGAGCTAGCTGCCTCCAGGAGACGGCCTAGGGGAGGGAGGGAAGGGGGAGAAGTAATGAGAGCTTCTCTGAGCGATGGGGAGGTTTCTGCCATGGGAGGCAGAGCGCGTGGCCCTCTTTTCTTTCACTTTAGCTGCCAGTTTGGCCTAATGAGACTTAGAGGCGCTCCTGTCCTGGGGAGGGACGTGGTGATGTGAGCAGCTCAGCAGCTGTCAGTCTGTCCAGACCTGCCTGCACCAACAGTGGACGGGGAACAAAATATAAGACATACCAGCACAGTATGTGAAGCTCACAGGGTTCTGAATCCAGAACTGCTGGTTGCTTTATACTCCAAGCTAGATAAACGATAGCCACTTGGTGCTCCAGGTGTAAAACAGTCCTGATTAAGCTGCACTAATCAAATCCTATATTTAACTTGAACTGCACTGGCATTTCCAATTGTATTAATGTTGGTGTCGCTGTTGCTAAGAGAAATACATAACTTTTTAGTTTTTCTCAGAGATACAAACAAGTCAGAGCACAATGCATTGGTTTCCAAACAAACTGTGGAAGGAAAACAGTTATTTATGTTTGTTGATTCGTCTAAATGTACAAGATGTTCATATATCACTAGCAACATGGCTAACGCTAGTTGCCCATCTGCTGTCCTCAGCAAAAAGAACCGTGGATTCCAAAAGAACTGAACAAATCAATCTCTGTGCTAAAGGTAGAATATAAGCAGTTTTCTTACTGATCAACATATAGGAAAAAACTCCTTCCTCAACAATGGCTATTCTGTAGGGTAATGTTTGTTCTACCTAGGGACAGCTGCTGCAAGCCTTTTTGTTTTGCCATCAAGTTGCCTCTGAGCAAAATGCTCTATGGTAGGTAGTGAGGAAGTGTTAATGTCTCGGGTTAAGGTTATAACTACCAGTAGGTCATTATCATCTTTTCAAATGGTCAATCTAAAGAGATGCAGGTTAAATAGTGGACTCTAAATTGCCGGAAGCTGCAAAAACCAGTGTGAATGATTGTCTGTCTATATGCGTCAGGCCTGTGATTGACTGGCGATCCGGATGTACCATGCCCCTGGCCCAGTGTCAGCTGAGATTGACTACAATCCCCTGGGACCCTCTTGAGGATATGCAATGAGAGCTAATGGATAGATCAAATGACTGAGTGTAATGTTGAGGTGGGCATTCGTTGTGATGAAACTAGAGAGAATTATCACCTAAAACAATTCTGCTATGGCAAGAACCAATGTTTTTAACCTCTGAATAATGGTGTACAATGCGACCCATGTGGGTGTGTAAGGGCCTATAATGAGGCTGGTAGCAAATTCAATTATTGTTCATACAACAATGAAAACATTTAGGTCGGGTAGCAGTTGATTAAAGAGAGACACCTTAAATCAATCAGACCCCGAAACCCCGCAGGCTTCAAGGTGACTGTAAAAAGTTTATAAAGTGCTTCTTTGCAGCAGCTTGGTTCACCTTGGATTATTTTCACTTGCAATTAATTCTAATGACACATATAGACATATTTTCACATTTTGTTAACCTTGCGGCATAGTCCAACTTTCCAGTGTCATTATGTATGGTATGCTTAGAAGATTTCCAGAAATCGTTTTAAATTGCCAAAGCAGGTTTTGCAGGCTGCTTCTATTGAAACTCAATCAGACGGACTGTTTGATATATTAAAGGGTTATTATTGGATAATAACAGCAAATATCACCAGTGTAGATAAGGGCCACATAGATGAGAGTAACACATGGGTCACTTCCGGGAAAAATTACGGCCCCGCACTCTTTTGGGGGAAAACATTTGCTGTAATTTGAATGGCAGTAAACACAGTTTTCGGCTATCACATAAAAACATTTTTATCTACAAAAAGCCCAATTATGATGGTCAGACTGGCAAAAATATAAAATGTCATTGGACATCGATGATCTGCGTCGATTTATAGTTTAAATTAAATCAATAGGGAAATTATGTCTGGTCAGGCTGCTGGAGGACGAGTGGCCGGCAGCAATATAACACTTTAACTGTGATTTCTGAATTAGATAGTTTCTTTTACTGTCCTTTTTTCTGTAGAGAAAGTAAATAATCCGTAAATCGCCATTCATTTGTTGTTTGAGGTGCATTATATGACTCAGCAGCTTTAAGACATGAAGAAACTATTTTCCGCTTTGCTCTGATGCATTGTTTTCTCCCTAAATATTTGTTATATCTATCAAATATCAGATATAAATTTCAATAAACAAAATATTCCATATTTTGAAACACTGTCTGACCTCAGAGGATTGGTGGCTATTAACGTGAGCTCTTTTTACATAATAGATTACCCGGTTGACCCTAATTTGACCTCCATTTTAGCCTTTGCCTATCCGATTGAGAGGGGTCACTGTCTGTGTCACGCTGATCTGATACCCGAGAATAAACTTCTCTGTTTAGTCTCTGTGACAAACACTCACAACACATATTCATTGGTCTCTATTAATGGTGGGTCACGCTGTGTGTTCTCTCATGCCAGCATGTGAATACAGCCACCAAAACAAAATTCAGTGTATTTGACAAGAACACAATATATTATTTAAACCAATATAGCCTCAACACTTGCAATATGTTATTACATGTGTCAAGAGCAGCTACAGTATATGGGCCTTTCTCTAAACCTTCCCCTCCTTTTCATCGCACACACACTAATGCAACAAACAGATGATGAAGAGCAAGGACATTACTGCCATTTGGAATTTAGAATTGGAGCAGGGTGAAAAAGAAAGGAAGGAATAGAGAATGACAGAGAAAACAGATATTGACGTGGTTATTCCTGTAGGGGAGGACATATACGTATAAAAGATGCAGGCTGTAAAACACATCTGAGAATAGATGCCTGTTGGAATATGTGGCGCCTCACTACAAACCACACAAAGTAATTCTGAAGTGTTTTGCAGTTTCATAGGAATGCCCGCCCCTAGATGCATTATTAATCATATTGTACAGCTACAAATGTTTGGAATTACAGCTGCCTACTTCGGCTTGACAATCATCCGCCATGAATTATCCAAATGAAATGGAAGTGGTAAACATAGATAAGCAGACTCACTTCTACAGACAAGATACATTTAAATAGAAACATCAATATTCATCACAGAGCTCGACAGCAGATTAAAGCCGCATTTTGTGTCACGGCACCAATCAAATCACAGCAGTTTGCGTGTGTTTGCTGAGGGAGTGTTTTTCAACAGGGGGTTTCTTTAACTGACTTTGAATTTGTTTGATGTGTATGCTCACTGACACCGGGATCAGTATGTTAACAGGAAAACCTGTTTTAATTTCCTTACAATTAATCTCTGGCAGAAGTATTGTTTGAGAAGGCAATTTCAATCACAGAATTTAGTTGGAGGTTGTTTTTTTTGTCTTCAAAACATACTTGTAAATCTTAATTTGCTTGGCCTACAAAATTATTATTGGAACTCAAAGAGAAGAAGACTAAATAAATTGCCTGTGGCTTTTTATTTACCTAATTTAGTCTAGTTTAATTTGATCATCCTGACAGTGTTTGCTCTTCATATATTAGTTTGCTCCAATGACTTAAACAACTAGGGGAAATGAAACTGTCTGTTAAAATGATCTGTTAAAAAACTGACTGGTTGAAGCTTTCTCAGTCCAAAGGGCAATCAAAAACATCCCTATGTTGTAAACAATAGATTAGAGTGGCAACTAAACCTTTATAGATTAAGTCCAATACATACATCCCAACTCATGTCAAATTCCATGAATGCCTATCCTACATCCTCCCAATCTTAATTAACCCCAGTTTAACCTCACACTCACATACTATATGGTATACCGTGGGCTGTAAGTTGTTTGCATGTTAAACTAACATACTAATCAGTGTATTTAATGATATTTTGCCAAGGCACAC